TACATTCTTTTGAAAAATAATGGAGCAAAAACTGTAATTGGATCCGTTTTCTTAAAACAATTGTAAAAACCCCAAAAGAATTTATTTCAAAGAATTCTTTCTCTTTCCTCTAAATATTACTCCTTTTGTTTCACTTTATTTGTTGTTTTAGACTTTTGCACATATATTAAGAAAATGATTAATTATCTTTAATTTTAATGTTAAATAAAATAAAAAAACCATTTTACCTTTTTTCTCACCCTTTTCTTCTACCATAAAACTCCACCTGTCGTTTCACTTTCTCTTTTACCTTCTCTTTCATTTGTGGGTTCTTTGGTCCAAAAAACTTGTTTGGAACTCCAACCTTCATTCCAATTCAATTTCACTTTATTTTCATTCTAATACCACAAAAATTTCCAAACTATGTACAAAACTTGGTTTACCTTCCTCTGACAGAGTTACATGTATTTTTGTTTTTTTCTTTTCTACTTCCGGCAAACTACCCAAATGGCCAAACCACAAACCCAGAGACTAGAACCCCTTATAATGAAAAATTCTCTACTTCTATCATTTGTTTCCAATTTCCTAATCTATCCCCTTTCTTTGTATTGCAAGAGCAACCACTTAAAATTAGTATAGCAAGAAATTTTTACTTCTGCAATTTTTTCTCTACAAAAACTTGTGGGTATTGCATGTTTGTTTAGATCAAATCCAAGATCCACTGGTATTGCTTGCTTGTTTAGCCATTTAGAAGAGTTTTCCAAAATTTGTAATATGAAACGGAGGACGGCAGAGAGGTCTTTTTTTTTTTTTTCCCTCTCCTTTTCAGACCGACATTAATTTGGAGTCATTAAATTAAAAAAATCTTGATTTACACAAAACGACTCTTTTATCTATCTCTTGAACGTGAGATTCTTTTATTTATTTCTAGTGATGAAAGGGTAAAATAGTCCCTTCAACTGAAAATTTTTTATTTATACATGGCTCCTTTCATGCGTGGCAATAACAAGACCCCATTATTTAATCTTCTTTTATAATTTCTTCAAGTTTAATTTACTCAGTCGCCTTTTGTTCTAAATTAATTTTTGTTACTTTATTTTTAAAAATAAATAAATATTTTTAACTATTTATTATTTTTATTTTAATTATTATCATATTATATCATTTTTTTAATAA